TAAATGTAGCAATGTAATGACGTAGTAGAAATTCTCATAATTTTCAAGATTGTGACTTTATCAAAAGTGTTCTGAGACTTTTTTTATAGAAATTATAAATATTCAGCCATTGAGCAATAAATATATTTACACATTGCTAGGGCAGTCGCTTATACATTATTAACTTTGTTTCAAACAACGCTGCCTAAATTATATCGATACAATTTTTTTTATTTAACTTATATTGGACAGCTTCTGCTCGATATTGGTCATTTTTAGCAAGGTAACACAGTGTTTAAATTATTTAATAGGATATATTTATTACTTTAAGCGAATACCGTAGAATACTGAAATGAAATTATGCTTTATTCAAATTGACTTATTGAAAACTCTTTAGAATCGTCCAATTACTTACCGTACACTTAATTACTACCACCAGTTCAGGACATTTTTAGCTGATGAGAAGAATGGCCGCAAGAAACTCATCAGCGTTTAACAAAAGTAGCAACATTTACATAAAATTATGCCGCTTCCAATACAATTAATTAGAAACATTAATTCAAATTCAATAGTGTCCACTCAAATTTTGATTGTTGTGTCATACAGTAACAGTAGTGTTAAACATCAAAATCATAACAACAATAGTGTTATTTATATTAGATATAATCAGATAACATTTCGATAGTAAAGTAGTATAGAGCAGACTCACCTCAGCGCACCCGTTCACGAGCATGACGCATAAAGCAGCCAGCGCTTCGCTCATTTTAGGGAATGTAATCACTCGCCTCACACCACACCACCGAAGCGATTTTAAGGAGAGCATGACTACGCATAACCACCTATACAGGGCGTCCCACGGCATTGTCACACGGAGGGAAAGTATATTAAATATTGAAAATAAGATATTTTACTGAGAGAAGACTTCATTTTATTTTTAGTGATAAGTAAAAACTTGTAATTATATATAATATGTTACGTGTGTTTATACAGGCAATTCACTGCATTCACAGATTTTTTTGAATCGCCTGCCACAACCTGGAATCAAACTCGTGAAACGTGAAAAAAAAATTCATGACGATAAGTATTATTTTTTTCTAAATAACATAGCATTTTAAATGAGAGAATTATTTAAAACTAGTTAACCCGCGTACTTCGTACGGGTTAAAATAATTTGGAAGAAATGATGGACCCGAGTCTACCGTACCAAAAGGGACGAACGTCAAATGTCTGACAGGAAAGAAGATAGAACAGTTTATATAAGAAAATTAAATTGACGTTTTTACAATCTTCCTCTCAATTTTTCCATATTTTCTCACCTTTTAAACCTTCCCTAGACCTCCACGAATATTTCAAGACCAAGATAAGATAAATCCGTTCAGCTGTTCTCGAGTTTTAGCGAGACTAACGAACAGCAATTGATTTTTATATATAAAGAAGATAATTGAACACAAACTACAAACAAAAAGAAAACTGCTTAAATGGTAGGTATTAAATTTAGTTTTCAATTTACTTAAGCAGAAGTCTATCCAAATAAGTATATACTAGTACAGAGCAGGCTCATCACCACTGCCAACATCCGTAACATAAATTGAGAATTTATTATATGAAACCTAAAATTGTAACGTGTGTAAGTTTTCCTTGAGTCGTGTAGGCAAGTTATCATTACTGGAGGTGAAATCAATTTTCAAATGTTGATTTAGTGGTGACCGCCATAAATTATCGGCCTCAGATCAAATGGCACTAACGCGGCAATTACTCAAATTAAGTTAGATATAATTACATATTTAAACTTCATGTTGGTAATATATTAATTTTATAGGATTGAAGCAGTAGCAAAGATGACAAAACCAACGTAGACAGTGACAACAAAGAACATCAATCTAATATACTTCCGGACACATCGGTGTCGGTTTTTAAATTATACAGTAATTAGTGTGGCAAAATTCATCAGTGCATTTAAACATAATCCCTCTACAAAGCCTTTATATTTTAACGTCTGTACATACACGATTTCGTTTGCGTACATTTTCAATTTTCCAGGATTTCTAGGAAACACGGTAATGTGACCCGGTTAAAATTTACAATAACGATTAGATAACGGTAACTTCTTAAATAAAATTAACTGAAAGCAACGATATTTAAACTAAATCTTAATAGAAGTTACAATTCGAAATTTAAGAAGTAACTATAATTGTTAAAATGCCCAGGGAAATAACAATTAAATAAATCTATGATATGCTGGATATTATATATATATATACTCTTATAATCAAAATTTAATGTAAAAATAAGCCACGAGCTTTTCTAAAGGCAACTTCTTCGGTTCTATTAACTCACAATCAAACTTCCGTAGTGAATATGTTAGAATTTATCCATGCACCTTATTGCACTTACTATACGGCTTGAGGCATATACACCAAGATACCCTAACAATGAGGTTTTAGTAATAATAAAATACTAGCAAACCAGTGAACCAAATGTTCACCAAAACCTGATTTCTCGAAAACCGGAAGTGCTACGTTACTCAAATTCGGTTTGTAGTCTTATCAGACTATTCTTAACTTATAACTTAAATATTCTCTTTGTCTATCTCTTACGTTTTGGCCGCTGAAACAGCACCACGGACAGACGGACTTGCCTAATAGATAAGAGATACGTCATGAAGTCTCATTTCTTAATTAAAAAAAAAACAGTACCTCTAGCTTTTACTTCGAAGGATTCGAGAATCACATTAAGAAGAATTCCAGAAGTTTGAGAAGGGAATATGGATTGCACGTTTCTATCAAACGAATATCTCCAGCCCCAGCAAGCCACGAATACCTACATTTCTTTTTACATAATTAAATAATATTGGATTTCTTCATACCTGAAATATGTAGGAATGATGGCAAGGAAAAAATATTCAATTACTCAATATGGCTGTATTTTGCTACGAGTAATCTTATGAAAAGAGAGGTATAGTATAGCGGATTTCCCGATCTAATTATAGTGCCAATATTATGTGGAATATCAATTATCACCGTATTATCAAGACCACCGTAAAATAATAATTACGGTGTTTTGGTTCTGTTGGTGTCTAAGGTTCCAAGACTAAGGCTAGCATGATTGTAATGACTGGGGCTACACAATTTTCTGTCGCATCAATGGTATATTTGCGATTAAATTCCAATCTACACTTAACATAATTTATGGAGGGAAAACGAAGTCATATTATAAAGTCTTTGAAGTGCAAGAAAATGAAGAAAATTAATATAGCAAATAATGTATTAGAATAATTACATTAATAATATAACTTATCAAAATTGGTTGTCGTTATCGTTAATAAGGGCTCCTTATTGAGAACACTTAAGCCTTATCGAGTAGAGAACATATTCTATACCGGCGTATTGTTTAATAATATTTATAAATAAAAGAAGAATACATACAAAGGCTAGTAGATATTTCAGGCAATTGTCATTTATTGTCTAGGTACTAAATATTGGTCTTAATAAAAAATAATAGTGGTTTCGACCGCTGCCTGCTATTGTGCAGAAGTCCAGAATAGAACTTACATTTTAGACCTCTATTGTTACCACCGATAGATTCTAACACGCTGTTGAAATCGATACACTGTAACAAAGAACAGGCCAGGCAAACATTAAACCGTTTCATCCAAATACATTTTGTATTTAGATGGAAATGTCACATGGAGGTCAGATTATTAAATACTTAGATCAGTTAATATTCTCAGAAAACAATATCTTATGTTACTCAAATATTCATATTGGTATAGTAATTTAACCGTTGCCGCGTTGCAATAGAATATTGATAATTAGACTGCTCGAATGATGACAGTTTCTGTTGGCTAAGCAAATATTAAAAAAGAAAGCATAATCTGTGACAGAAGAACTAAAATGGTCGAATATGAAAAATTATATTAAAATTTAATTTATCGTAGTTATTAACATGCATGCATGTCTACCAACCCGAAAAGGGAAGGAAACAGAAACACAAGAATTATGTAAAGATTGAAATAGTACCTACCTACTCATTTTTCACCCTTACGGAAATACAGTCATAATTATGTAACCTTATTTATGTTTCCGTACAAACGTTATCATTGTTGCTACATTCAAAATATGGGATATAAAATAAGAAGTTTCGTCTTAACATTAAAAAAGACAAACGTAATTTAAAAGTGTTAAAATTTGAAAAAAAAAAACTTTTAAATAAACAACTTTTACCATAAGCCCTGTCGACTAACGTTAACAGACACTTTCAACAAAGATCCCGGCGATATTTCAAGAATCTAAATTAATGTTAAACTGTTAAGTCGTTTAAACGCGGCAGAGCACGCCTTTGTTTTTACGATTTCATTTCACAGACAGTAAAATTTGCGAGAGCATTCCAAAGCGTGTAAATTAGCCACATTCGGATTGGGCGCCGACACGGGCGGGCCCGGGTGCCCGGGTGGTACGCGGCCGGGCCAGCCATTTATTGAAAGTCGGAGGGCACCGCGTGAGGCCATTAGTCGTCCCGCTGCCTGAAAAAGTGTCGTTTTCCCTGAAACATTGCGCCTGGGCGCGCTATTCAATTGGCGAATGTATTTTATTCAGTGCCAATCGATCTCAGACAACAAAACGCACGCTGTGAATGGGAGTCCCGCGAGGCGATAAATCACCGACATCTTCGATACGTTTAATGAAAAGATCTCTCGCCACCCACACTGTTTTATTTAACTGGAGGTGCACGGTTCCCGCACGTTGTAAACACACTCTACCCTAATCTACGTCTGGATCGGTCGTAGTTCCTAATAGGTATTCTGTGTTCGAATGGACCCATAGAAGTCCGGGGATCCGTTCCACTTAATTTGCAGATATAGTTTCGTCTAGTTTCTAAGTTGTAATCAAAATAAACGATGCAGACGCTCAATGAAAATTGGCAAACTTGTAGACTAATAAAAGGTTGTTTGTTTCAGATTGGTTCCATGGTCACTTGAAAGGGCAGCATGTTAACGGGTCGTTTACGATAAATAGTGCAGGGGTAACTTTCGGAAATGATAGAATACTAGTGTTGTGAAACTTAAGATGAAAAAGGCGCGGAGGGCTCGCCGGAGTCGAGACGTGACGTGACGTGTGGACCGCCTCGCGCGCAACATGGCTGCACATCTCGCCGCCATATTGTTGTGGCTTGGTGGCAGTAAGTATTCTGTTAATATTTAAACATATAATTATTAATATTTAAACATATCTATCAAACGAAGATGAAAAACACCATATATTTTCAGTCTAATATAAATTATAATGCACATATTAGTATGAGCAGGGAGGAGTCCCAGATAACTTCTTCTCGCTCTCCCGGTGGTAAAAGGATGCGTAAAGCATTTTCCGGACATAAAAAAATGTCGTAATGGTAATTTAGGAGCTTGGTGGCACAGGTGGTTAGCACGTTCGGCTTACAATCGTAGCAGTTAAGCAACATTCGCAGTGGCCGGTCATTGGATGGGAGACCAAAACCTTATTATCTAGAGCTTCTTCGTGCTTCGGAAAGCACGTTAAGTCCTTGGTCCCAGCTGCATTTGTAGTCTTTAGCACCCACCAATCCGCACTGGGCCCGCGTGGTGGGTCATGGTTCGATCTCCCTATTCCGTCCATAGAGAGGGCCTGTGGCCCAGCAGTGGGGAAGTTAAAAGGCTGATGATGATGAATGCTAGAATTCCAGGGCTCCATGTGTAGAAGATAAGGTCAGGGTCATACCCTAGCGATGCCTACATCGGTGTGAGTTATTCTCTGATCAGAGCGATACTATTGTGGATGCAGGGTTGCGCTTTAATAAACAAATTGATGACATGGTGGCTAAGGCTTACCGAACGCTTGGTTTCGTTTTGTGCAACATAATGGAATTCAAAAGTCCACCAACTAAAATAACACTATATAACGCACTTGTACGTAGTGGATTGGAATATTGTAGTGTGGTGTGGAATCCACACTTTGATGTGTACGTTAAAAAGATGGAGCGCGTCCAAAAAAGGTTTTTATGGCATCTTTCTTACAACCTCAATCTTGCAAAAAAGCTTCCACACTACGAAGATAGGCTACGATACTTTAAAATGTACTCATTAAGCGATCGCCGATTTATTTTGGACAATGCTTTCTTGTATAAGCTCGTTAATGGTATTATGGACTGTCCCGATTTGCTCTCAAGAGTATATTTTAATATCCCTTAAAACTGCCAAGAGGATCAAGATATAATTTGTTTGCGACGAGAAGCTCCAGAACGAACATAGGCTTATTTTCTCCTATAAATAGAATACTCTCTCACTGTCAAAGTCGACCGATATGAACATCTTCGCGGATACACTGAAGAAAATAAAATCTTTATGTTTGGTTATGCCCACATAGTTTTTTCATTAATTTATTTCTCATTTATTTATTTTTCATTAATTTTTTTTTCATTGCTTTATTTTCATTAATTTATTTTTTATAAATTTATTTAATTGTTGTTGTTCAATTATTGTCAATTTAAATTTTTATTTTTATTCATAATTGGTTTGTATTGAAATTAATGTAATTTTCAAAATTTTATAAGATTTAATTGCTAGTTAAGTGTAAATTGCATGTCGTAATAGCCTATAATTAAAGTTCCAGTAATAAAGTGTCGTACTATAAATGTGTAAATAAGAAATGTCTAAGTGTAACTTTGTTGGTGATCAAATAAATTAATACTAGTTATAATTTTATTATTTTTAAAGCATGTAACTGCTTGATGTTTAAATCTAAAGAAAATATAACTAGAAAAAATTCCACGCGGACCAGGCAGCAGACGGGACTCGAACCCGCACCCTTCGCAATCCGGGCGAATGCACTGACCAATTATGCTACCGCGGCCCTCACGGACCGCGTCGAAATTCTTTCTAGCTATTCTTAAGCTGCAAGGCAGCGCCATCTCTTCGCATTATAGGTAAACCCACAATGTCAAATGAATACTTTTACAAGTATTAAACATTTGAAAGAAGAAATAGCAATTATAGTTATAATTTTATTATTTTTAAAGCATGTAACTGCTTGATGTTTAAATCTAAAGAAAATATAACTAGAAAAAATTCCACGCGGACCAGGCAGCAGACGGGACTCGAACCCGCACCCTTCGCAATCCGGGCGAATGCACTGACCAATTATGCTACCGCGGCCCTCACGGACCGCGTCGAAATTCTTTCTAGCTATTCTTAAGCTGCAAGGCAGCGCCATCTCTTCGCATTATAGGTAAACCCACAATGTCAAATGAATACTTTTATGAAATAATATATTAAATAAATATTGTGGGTTTACCTATAATGCGAAGAGATGGCGCTGCCTTGCAGCTTAAGAATAGCTAGAAAGAATTTCGACGCGGTCCGTGAGGGCCGCGGTAGCATAATTGGTCAGTGCATTCGCCCGGATTGCGAAGGGTGCGGGTTCGAGTCCCGTCTGCTGCCTGGTCCGCGTGGAATTTTTTCTAGTTATATTTTCTTTAGATTTAAACATCAAGCAGTTACATGCTTTAAAAATAATAAAATTATAACTATAATTGCTATTTCTTCTTTCAAATGTTTAATACTTGTAAAAGTATTCATTTGACATTGTGGGTTTACCTATAATGCGAAGAGATGGCGCTGCCTTGCAGCTTAAGAATAGCTAGAAAGAATTTCGACGCGGTCCGTGAGGGCCGCGGTAGCATAATTGGTCAGTGCATTCGCCCGGATTGCGAAGGGTGCGGGTTCGAGTCCCGTCTGCTGCCTGGTCCGCGTGGAATTTTGTCTAGTTATATTTTCTTTAGATTTAAACATCAAGCAGTTACATGCTTTAAAAATAATAAAATTGTAACTATAATTGCTATTTCTTCTTTCAAATGTTTAATACTTGTAAAAGTATTCATTTGACATTGTGGGTTTACCTATAATGCGAAGAGATGGCGCTGCCTTGCAGCTTAAGAATAGCTAGAAAGAATTTCGACGCGGTCCGTGAGGGCCGCGGTAGCATAATTGGTCAGTGCATTCACCCGGATTGCGAAGGGTGCGGGTTCGAGTCCCGTCTGCTGCCTGGTCCGCGTGGAATTTTTTCTAGTTAAATTTTCTTTAGATTTAAACATCAAGCAGTTACATGCTTAAAAAATAATAAAATTATAACTATAATTGCTATTTCTTCTTTCAAATGTTTAATACTTGTAAAAGTATTCATTTGACATTGTGGGTTTACCTATAATGCGAAGAGATGGCGCTGCCTTGCAGCTTAAGAATAGCTAGAAAGAATTTCGACGCGGTCCGTGAGGGCCGCGGTAGCATAATTGGTCAGTGCATTCGCCCGGATTGCGAAGGGTGCGGGTTCGAGTCCCGTCTGCTGCCTGGTCCGCGTGGAATTTTTTCTAGTTATATTTTCTTTAGATTTAAACATCAAGCAGTTACATGCTTTAAAAATAATAAAATTATAACTATAATTGCTATTTCTTCTTTCAAATGTTTAATACTTGTAAAAGTATTCATTTGACATTGTGGGTTTACCTATAATGCGAAGAGATGGCGCTGCCTTGCAGCTTAAGAATAGCTAGAAAGAATTTCGACGCGGTCCGTGAGGGCCGCGGTAGCATAATTGGTCAGTGCATTCGCCCGGATTGCGAAGGGTGCGGGTTCGAGTCCCGTCTGCTGCCTGGTCCGCGTGGAATTTTTTCTAGTTATATTTTCTTTAGATTTAAACATCAAGCAGTTACATGCTTTAAAAATAATAAAATTATAACTATAATTGCTATTTCTTCTTTCAAATGTTTAATACTTGTAAAAGTATTCATTTGACATTGTGGGTTTACCTATAATGCGAAGAGATGGCGCTGCCTTGCAGCTTAAGAATAGCTAGAAAGAATTTCGACGCGGTCCGTGAGGGCCGCGGTAGCATAATTGGTCAGTGCATTCGCCCGGATTGCGAAGGGTGCGGGTTCGAGTCCCGTCTGCTGCCTGGTCCGCGTGGAATTTTTTCTAGTTATATTTTCTTTAGATTTAAACATCAAGCAGTTACATGCTTTAAAAATAATAAAATTATAACTATAATTGCTATTTCTTCTTTCAAATGTTTAATACTTGTAAAAGTATTCATTTGACATTGTGGGTTTACCTATAATGCGAAGAGATGGCGCTGCCTTGCAGCTTAAGAATAGCTAGAAAGAATTTCGACGCGGTCCGTGAGGGCCGCGGTAGCATAATTGGTCAGTGCATTCGCCCGGATTGCGAAGGGTGCGGGTTCGAGTCCCGTCTGCTGCCTGGTCCGCGTGGAATTTTTTCTAGTTATATTTTCTTTAGATTTAAACATCAAGCAGTTACATGCTTTAAAAATAATAAAATTATAACTATAATTGCTATTTCTTCTTTCAAATGTTTAATACTTGTAAAAGTATTCATTTGACATTGTGGGTTTACCTATAATGCGAAGAGATGGCGCTGCCTTGCAGCTTAAGAATAGCTAGAAAGAATTTCGACGCGGTCCGTGAGGGCCGCGGTAGCATAATTGGTCAGTGCATTCGCCCGGATTGCGAAGGGTGCGGGTTCGAGTCCCGTCTGCTGCCTGGTCCGCGTGGAATTTTTTCTAGTTATATTTTCTTTAGATTTAAACATCAAGCAGTTACATGCTTTAAAAATAATAAAATTATAACTATAATTGCTATTTCTTCTTTCAAATGTTTAATACTTGTAAAAGTATTCATTTGACATTGTGGGTTTACCTATAATGCGAAGAGATGGCGCTGCCTTGCAGCTTAAGAATAGCTAGAAAGAATTTCGACGTGGTCCGTGAGGGCCGCGGTAGCATAATTGGTCAGTGCATTCGCCCGGATTGCGAAGGGTGCGGGTTCGAGTCCCGTCTGCTGCCTGGTCCGCGTGGAATTTTTTCTAGTTATATTTTCTTTAGATTTAAATTAATACTAGTATTGCAGCCTCTGTTGACTATAGCGGCCACTTACTTTCAGGCGGACCATGTGCTTGTTTGCTACCCTTTTTACTATTTTTTTTGTGTCTGGGAAATGCCTAATGCATCCTTTAACCACTGGGGGAGCGAGAAAAAGGTATGTGGGACTCCTCCCTGTCCCCTTCAGCCAGCCCTGGAAGAACAGGGCCCTACCTACGCCCTAAACAGGGCCACTAAAAACCAGACAATACTCCTGCACCGTCACCCGACACG